GAGAGAGAGAGAGAGAGAGAGAGAGAGAGAGAGAGAGAGAGAGAGGGTCCTTTGTTTCTTTGACGGTAACACCGGCCGAATTTTCTGTTCGTGACAAAAGTTCACTCACCGGAGAGAGAACGGGATTATTCGCGGCGTGTACAGACATACACACACACACACCGTTTATGTTACGTGGACCGATAAGAATCTTTGCATTCTTTTGGCTTCCCCTTATCTGTCGCGATACGGGGACACTCGGGTACGCATAGTGCGCGTGATAGTTCTTTTTGGTCATGTTAGACCAGTGTTTCCCAACATGGGACAATTTGAATATTTTCGGGGGCAATTAGCAAATCATTGACATTGGTTACCTCAACACTTTTACTTTTTTATATTTGAAGCAGCTATTAATGTTAAACTTTCTCAGAACTTGTTTCATTATTATGCTAGGGTGGCATCGAGATTTTTGAGGCGTTTAGGTGGGGCATGATCCAAAAAAGGTTAGGAAACACTGCGCTAGATTCTTAACACGTTATATTTACCGGCTGCTGTTCAATAGGGATTTCTTATTTTAGGATTACTGAAATTATTATATATGATAATAGTGCTTCAGGCAAAATTTACATTGGTTTCTAATTTACTACATAATTTATATCATACTATATTATAAAATTTAATTTAGTGTACATTCAATGCTGGTAGTTCTGGTGTTAAGTTAAATAGTTCAGTCACAATAGGATGTTACATTCATGAAAAATAGCAAGAACTCTAATAGAATAACGTTACAATTTGTTCTTTAACCCTGATCTAAGGGTAAATTAGTAGGTTTCGTGTCTGTAAGCACTGAAATTCAAAAGTCTGTTAATAGGCTACCAATCAGTAAATCGTTAACAATTTTGAAATCTCTTCTATTAGTGCTCTAAGCACGAGCAAACATTCGCAAGTTTGTTCGTTTAGTATCTGTTACAGTGAATGCAATCATATCTTTAAATTGTAGTCATGTATTCCAGGTATAAGTATTATTAGTCTAATCCTTGAAATTACTAGAGTAAACGGACCAATGCATGGGCACTTGAGAGATTTCGTAACTATTAAAGTTGAATTTTAAATGATAATAATTAGATATATAGATTTTTTAATATCTATTAATATACATATATCTTCTCATACCGTATAGATTTCAATTTGAAAAATTGGAAAAATATAATTAATTAAATTAAAAAGCAAGAATACAAATTTCACCAGCGAATGACCAATATTAAGTACATGAATGTTTCAGACCAGTGGCGCGAAAATTGGTTGAATATAACGCACTGGAATTTAGGTACTTATTTTAATAACTTAATTTACCCGCTTTTATATAGTTTTAATTTAATTGGCTTAAAAATTAGCTCAGGATCTAGGACTAGTCTTTGTGAATTATTTTTATCCATAATTTATCGTAGCTACTTGTATTTTATTCATTAAATTGCGAGAACTGTACTTTGAACTATTTTGTACTAACATTATATTATTATTATGAAATTGCAACGATACGATTAGTCCGAACATCTTGGAAGAATCACAGAGAAAGAATGCTAAGAATTGTCGTGATTGCAATGATCCAGGGTGGAAATGGTTTGCGCTAATCCGAGTTCCTCTTCGAAATTCACTTTATTACCGAGGATCCCTGTTATATGTATATCTTGTGCCACGAGTTCTCGAGCGAAATTTTGTACAACAGGAAAGGGAAACGTGATCAACAAGTAACACACGCGTCGATTCTCGCGAACCCTCGGGATGAATTACTATTCGCGGTGGCGGTCCGTTCGATGCTTGCGCGAATAATTGCCAGCAGCGGGGTTCGATTATATTCCGATCACATCGGGAAGTTGTACGAACCCGTGCCGCCTGTGGACGCACGAGAGAGAGAGAGAGAAACCCTCCTCCCGTCGTCAGCTCGCGAAACTGCCGATCCGTTGAAATGCCATCTCCCTCCCTCCCTCTCTCTCTCTCTTCCCTCTTCAGGTTGCTCAATTTTCGCCCTTTCCGCGGATTCATCGCTCGGAAGCCGACTCTGGATCGTTTTCTCCGCATTTTTTCTTTTACCATGTTCCAGA